GCCCGGGGACAGGAGGGGGAGCACAGCCATCCCTGCCTACAGAGATGCTGCTTTGATTTAAAGGAGGCATGAATGTGTGCTTGGTCTAAGGAGAAAACGTTCGGATTCAAAACGTGTTTTGACAGCATGTCCCAGTTAGCTGAGGTGATCTAAAGGATTAAGGTGAATTTATAAAGCTGCAGTGCTGGGAACACTGAAGATCAGTGAAATGTCTTGTGTCATTAACCCAGTGTGTGTCTGCGCTGTGTGCAAAGAGGCTGCAGGGCACGATGTGCCATCCCTGCAGACATTCGATGCCAGACTGGATGGGGTTCTGGGCAACCTGCTCTAGTGGAAGGGGTCCCTGCCCATTGCCGGGGGTTGGAGCTGGGTGGTCTTTAGGTTCCTTCTACCCAAACCACTCCTCTGTTCCGTTAAAACCCATCCCTGGAAGTGTTCAAGGCCAGGTTGGACACAGGGGCTTGGAGCAACCTGCTCTAGTGGAAGGTGTCCCTGCCCGCGGCAGGGGTTGGAGCTGGAGGAGCTCTAAGGTCCCTTCCAGCACACACCAGTCTGGGATTCTGTGGCACACAGTATGTGTGCATCATTCACTGCTGCTCCACAGGCACGGTTGTGTATGGAGAGCCCATCACCGCCAGCCTGGGCACCGACGGCTCTCACTACTGGAGTAAAAACTGGGCCAAAGCCGCAGCCTTCGTCACGTCTCCCCCCATCAGCCCCGACCCCACCACACCGGAGCACCTCTCCTCCCTCCTGTCCTGGTGAGTTCCATGTCAGTGTGGGAGCCTGAGGGCATCTGCTGTGTTTGAGAGGTTGAACAGGGCTTGGAGCAACCTGCTCTAGTGGGAGGTGTCCCTGCCCGGGGCAGGGGTTGGAGCTGGGTGCTGGCAGGGGGTTAGTGGTTTGGGATGCCTCCTCTGACCTCCTCCGCTGTGCTTTGCCCAGCGGGGACCTGCAGGTTGCCGGCAGCGCTCACTGCACCTTCACCACCGCGCAGAAGGCTGTGGGGAAGGACAACTTCACCCTCATCCCCGAGGGCACCAACGGCATCGAGGAGCGGATGTCCATCATCTGGGAGAAGTGTGTGGTAGGTACTGACACAAGGCTGGTTCCTGGGAGGCTGGGGCTGGAGGTGCACGTGAGCGGTGCTGTGCCAGGCGATGCCGCTGTCCTCATTAAATCACACAAGCCAGGAGGTGTGACAGTGTCTAGACTGGCACCGCAGAGGAGCTCGCTAATGAGAGAAGGTGCGACACTCGAATGCCTTCAGTGTGTCTTCAAAGGCTTCGTTGCGGGATCACCCCCCCGCTCTCACTCACAGTCACAAGGGAAGGTCTCTCCGGCACATTTTGCTAAGGGCGAGACGTGATGTTCCTCTTCCCAGTGTTTGCAGGAGCCTGGGGAGGAGGATGGGGACGGGGTGTCTCCCCCTTGGTGGCTGTGGCTGTGCCTCCCAGCTGCCGGGTCGTCCCAGTTCCCATCGGTGGGGACAGGCTCTGGAGGCACCTCCGTGTCTGCCGGGCAGTGGAGCAGAGCTGTGGTGCACCAGTGTCTGGCTGGTGGGATTGGGTCCCGTGTCCCTGTGCACCGGTGCACCCTGCCCTCCCGAGGAGCATCACTGGGAGGCTCTGGCTGCATCCATGTGGGAATTCCAGGAGCTCGGAAACCAGTCCACCCCAAAGCCTCTGTCTTAGGTAGGCTTTGCTCAAAGACAGATAGAATTTATCTTAGGATAATAAGTAAAGAGGATCAGTAGCACTGTTCAGGTCCAGTTCCAGTCTTTCTTCATTGAAATATCCTTAACCATCTCCAGTTAACATGAGATCCCTGTAGAGGGAGCTGGAGCCTACCAGTGAACGTCTTGTTTTTCAAAGCCTATGGAAAATAAACCCCATCTAGGGTATGATTTAGCCCCCAGGCTGAGCCTCCACATCTCCCTTCCCTGTGATTGCAGCGCTGTCACAGGGGGGCTCCTTACACCGCATGGCCACACAGTTGGATCCTGCAATACCTTCTCCCAGATCCTCATTCCTCATGGTGGGAGAGCACAGGTCTGGGCAGTGGTGGTTCTTCCCTTCTCCTCCCCAGGTCTCAGGGAAGATGGACGAGAACGGCTTCGTAGCAGTGACCAGCACCAATGCTGCCAAGATCTTCAACTGCTACCCCAGGAAGGGGCGCATCGCCCTGGGCGCCGACGCGGACTTGGTGCTGTGGAACCCCAAGGCCACGAGGATCATCTCAGCAAAAACCCACAATCTGGTGACATGTTTTAAACAGTATTTTCTGAGCTGGTTTTCATGTCAGAATTGAGCAGTACAGCAGTGTAATTCTTCAGGTCAGGGACCATAGAATCATGATTTGGGTTGGAAGTTCCAGCTATAAAGTGTTTACCCTGTACAGTATCCAAAGGATGTTTTAATTTGCTTGTATTTGTAAAAGTAAATGCAAGGCCCTTCACATCTTAAGCAGCTCCTCAGTTGCTGGATGGTCTGATCTTCCTGAGTGTTTCCCTGTGAGGGTGCTGAGGCGCTGGCACAGGGTGCCCAGAGAAGCTGTGGCTGCCCCATCCCTGGCAGTGTTCAAGGGCAGGTTGGACACAGGGGCTTGGAGCAACCTGCTCTAGTGGAAGGTGTCCCTGCCCGGGGCAGGGGTTGGAGCTGGAGGAGCTTTAAGGTCCCTTCCAACCCGAACCAGGCTGGGATTCTATGATCATTTGCAGTATGAAGGGTTAGTTAAGTACAACTGATTATGCATAAGGAGCAATGTACAAAAATTGGGGGTGGGGGTGTATAAAACTGGCCAGACTGTCACCTTGTCTTCATAAATCCTAGCCCTATGGTTTGTTTTTTCCAGAATGTGGAGTACAACATATTTGAAGGCACAGAGTGTCATGGGGCTCCTACTGTGGTCATAAGTCAAGGAAGAGTTGTTCTTGAAGATGGAAACCTGTGTGTAACCCAGGGCTCAGGTCGCTTCATTCCCAGAAAGACATTCCCTGATTTTGTTTATAAAAGGATAAAGGCGAGGAACAGGGTAAGGAGAATTTTACCTGCCATGATCCCGTATTTTAGCTGCAGTCTCTCTGCATTACTGAATTGCAGTCACTGTTGTGGCAGGTCTGCTGATGGAATAGGCAACAGAAACAAGAGTATTATTAATGGTTTTCTTTCTAGGCCTTGGAAGTCTGTGACGTGTCGTGTCACTGCTTTGGTGTGTGGGTTGGCACGTTGACCAGTGACACCTATTTGAGTATTATAGCACCCTCAGGGGCCTCTTGGAACCCCTTTTCCGAGGGGACGTGACCTTTGCCGTGGGGTCCAGGCAGCATCCTCTGGTTGGCTTTGATGGTGGGAGCACTGCTGGGTGCCTTGTCCTGCCTGGGCTCCCCAAAACCGCTCCGTGGGGGGTTAAGCACGGAGAGAAGGACAAGAGGTCGTTACCCATGAGCTGGGTCTGGTTCTTGTTCAATACGTGCCTTACCCTCCGCTGCTCCCCCTGCAGCTGGCTGAGATCCACGGCGTTCCCCGCGGGCTCTACGACGGGCCGGTCCATGAGGTCCTCACCAGCACCAGAGCCGTGGCCCCCACGTCGGGAGCCAGGATCACACCGTGTGCGGGCAAAGCCCCGGCCCCCGCCGTGCGCAACCTGCACCAGTCGGGGTTCAGCCTTTCAGGTAGGGCAGGTGTCCCCAGAGCCGGGGCTGGTTTGCGTGGGGATCACTTGTGTGCGCAGCAGGGCAAGGCTGAGGAGTGGAACTGCAGTTCTGCTCAGTAAAAAGCAGTTCTTGCTGTTGCAGCAGCCCAGGGACTAGATGCAGCAGAGAAACCTCCGGGATGCTTTATGGTATCTGGGTAATGCACTGATGAACGTGCATCATGAGGCCTGGTGGGGGACTGTGAGGTGGTTGTGAGTGCAGGGCCATGGAGGGTGGAGACTGCAATGATGGGAGGATGAGATGAAGGTGTGGGTCTTACCAGCGTCCTGCCTGGGTCAATGGAGATGCTGCGGTGGCTGCTGAGGGGGGCATCCCGATTTCAGCCCTGGCTGCATCCCCTGCAAGTCATGGGTTAGAAGTGGTTGGGGTTGTAGATATGAGTCAAAAAACTCCATTTACAGAAACCAGAATTTAATTCCTTTGAACTTTCTGCATAAGCAGGCAATGATTCACAGAACCATGGAATGGTTTGTGTTGAGGGGACCTTAAAGCTCCTCCAGCTCCAACCCCTGCCCCGGGCAGGGACACCTTCCACTAGAGCAGGTTGCTCCAAGCCCCTGTGTCCAACCTGCCCTTGAACACTGCCAGGGATGGGGCAGCCACAGCTTCTCTGGGCACCCTGTGCCAGCGCCTCAGCACCCTCACAGGGAAAAAAACTGCCCAATATTGAGCTTCATTCAGCTCAGCATCCTGCAGAAATCTGCCCATCAGCAGATTTAGGGACCTTGGAAAGCCAGTGCTTTGCTGTAAAATGACTTCAGTGATGTTTTCTTAGCTGGTTGAAATCAAATGGATCACATAGTGTTTACTAAATGTACAAGGTCCCACATTTTATTAGATAGAATCTGTTTATAGAGGAAAGCATTTATAATGTTTCCCAGAGAGAAGCGGTGAAAGATGTTCAGGTAAATAATGGCATTAATACAGTGTCCAAAACGATACATAGTGAAAACATGGGTGTTTCCACCAGGGAATGTGCTATGATCTGTGCCCTCAAAGCCATGGCCCCGCCTGCCCATGCTCTCCTGTCCCGCAGGCTCGCAGGCAGACGACCACATCGCACGCCGCACGGCTCAGAAGATCATGGCCCCGCCGGGGGGACGCTCCAACATCACCTCCCTGTCCTGACGGGTGCTGGGGCCGCGCTCTCCCCCCATGCCGGCCGCTGCCGGGGTGTCCCCGTGTCCCGCCGGGAAGGGGACGGTGGGTCCCTCGAGCTGGGGGTGACAAGTGAGCATCCGTCAGCTGCCCTAGCCCCTCCCTGTAGCTAGAACATAGAGTAACCCCGAGAGGTAGCGCTCCCATCCCGAGCCCTCCTGCCTGTTTCTTCACTAGCTCCTCGGAAAGCCTTTCCCTGTGCATGCAGGCACCTACGTGTGCACTTGGCAGCATGCTCAGTGTGCTGCCTGGGGCCATCCCAGGCTGGTTTGTGTTGGAAGGGACCTAAAGCTCCTCCAGCTCCAACCCCTGCCCCGGGCAGGGACACCTTCCACTAGAGCAGGTTGCTCGTCCAAGCTGGCCTTGAACACTGACAGGGATGCAGTGAAGGTGTGTTCTAGCTGGAATAGGCTCCTTTTCTAGTAGCAGCAACTGCCCTTTGTAGTCAAAGGACTTTTAACCAATAAGCACTTCCAGCTCTCTGGATTTAATACATACATGGAGTGCCCATGTCCAGTGTGGCTGTGTGTGATGGCCCCGTGTCCGTCTGTCCCTGCAGTGTCACAGCCTTGGCACGGTGGGTGCAGGCAGGGGCTGGGGCCGGCACCGCGGCCGCGCTGAGGGTCCTGCACCGCGGCCGATGTGCTGCTGAGCTGCAGCCTTGCTGTTGGGCTCGTTTTTTAAAGACTATTTATACTGTTTTTCAAGCACCAAGTCCTCGCACCAGTAACCAGCTCAGCTGAAGGCCAGCTGCACCGGACAGACCCTTTTATAAAGGTTATTATAGCCTGTTTATTATATTTGAAGTATATACAGTTAGGGTGACGCTCTGCCACACAGCTATGCATGTACCTCTGACGAACGGCTCGCCTTTCGTTCTGCTCCTTGCCTTGAATAAAGTTTGTTGGAAACCATGAAATGGTGGAAGTGGTTGATCCATCTGAGCTTTTTGTGTTTTCTGCCTCTTGTGCAGAAGAGTTTGTGACATCAGTTCATGGCTCGTAGCTTACTCCCACTTGACAGTAAAAGGAGGTTTATCATTAGCTGTGTGGGAATACTGCAGAACCCCAGCCTTTTGCTAAGACCCAGCACACTTGCTGGGGGCTGCTCCACTGGGTTCAGTGGCACACAACCAGCCTGCCCCCGGCAGCCTTTGGATTGCCAATAAAGCTGAAACGCCACGAGGGTGGATGCTTTTCCCCACCAGGTCAACGCCAGCACCAGTGCCTGTGGGATGCGGATGCAATAAAAGATGCTGTAACGTGCCTGTGGGATGCAGATTTCCCTCAGGCAGTGTCGTGCTTTGGTTTCTAGCTCGCTCTGAAAGCAGGGAACAAGAAAGGGAACAAAGGTGTTGTGGAAACACGAGCAAGCATCTGCTCTAAAGGTGGAAGCTGAAATCGCATCGTTCACCAGCTCTGGATACACTAACGCACAAGGTAAATGTGAACAAATGCACCTGAACTCTCACATTTAAACCAGCAAGGGGTGTTTTTGTGGTGGTTTCTTTGATTCTCTGATCTGACCTACATCTCATTGTTTAATGCAATGACCTGCAGTGGTTTCTGCATCAGATGTCGCGATGTGTTTCTTCATGTATTTTGTATTTCATTTTAAACAAGTTATTTAATGTCAGTTGTTGGTTTTCTGGGTTTTCCTGCAATGGTAATAAGATCATTGAATGCCTGTTTATTTTCCTTCTAAATAGAGTTTTTTAAATGGAAACTACACAGGGAAAGATTAAAGTTACAGAGTGCTGGCAGTGACCTCTTCCAACCACCCAGACATCCATCGGGTGACAGGGATACCCCAGCACCCCCAGCTTGGAAGCAAGGGAAGTTACATGAATTTGTCCTGGAAATATCCCTTTTCCAACAGTCAGGCTTATACTAGCTACCCAGGCGGCTGGTAGTCCACGATGCTTGTGAGCAGCCAGGTTCTGGACAGATT